CGCTGCAACCATGGCTGCACGACGCCAAACCACAGCACAAGCCAGCGGATCGGAACGCGGAAGGGCTTTTGGCGGATTAGGAGGCGGAGATGAGACGGAGCAGCGCGCCAAGGAGCGCAAGGCCAAGAAGAAGAAGAAGGGCAGGGGCGAGACGTGGCTCAGCCCTCTGCTACTTGCGTACGATCGAGAGGCCAATCCGCGAGGAGCCGCTCGCGCGCGAGGTCCACTTTGTGATCCGGAGGCATCATCACTGCGCTTGCCGCCGCGCTCGCTCACTGATTGCCAGGAGATGGATCAGAGGCGTGTGGCTGAGCCGGGCTTTGCGCTGACGCTGAGCGACTGTCCGAAGAGAGGCTTCTTGACAGTCGTCTGGCACGTCCGCACTGACCCCATGCCGAGCTTGACCTCGCAGGAGGCGCACGTGCCTGCCTTACACTGGTAGGTGATCTGCACGCCAGCGCGATAGGCGGCCAGGGAGAGAGGCGAGCCCTCAGGCACCGACGCAGAGCGGCCACCCGGGAATTTGACGAGCACGTCCGCCATCACTGCGCCAGGCCGCCTCCTTGTCCCTGGAGCGAAGCTCTGTTGCGGCACGAGGGCTGTGAATGCGTGGAGGAGGAGGAGAAGCGTCTGCATCGTGAATCCCTGCAGTGGTACTCGAGGCAGATGGGGCTCGACACGCCTCGGGCTCACACACGGACTCGGTGGAAAACGAGGAAAACCCTTGACCCCTATTTTTTCTGGACTAGTGTGGGACCTGCGGCGGTACCCGTCTCTGTTGTTCGGGCAGTGAGAGACGCAGGATCTGCACGCCAAAGTGGGCCACTCCGCATTTGCATTTTGGTTTTGGGTTGTCGGAGATCATCCATCACGCATCAGCTCTCATGTCTCATCACAGTCAGTCACGTCAGTCAAAGCAGTCGTGGCACGTGGAGCAGTCGCTGATGGCAACGGCGCCGCCACACGCTCCGGACGACCCCGACACACCGACACACCACGCACAATGGGAGGCTATCGCGCACGATCGGGCATCGCGCCGCAAACAACTCGCCGCACAGATGGGGGGGAGGCAGAATCCCACACACACCGGAGCAGCACAGACACCTTACACGTCAGCGCTCGCTCGATGTGGCCGGCGCTCTCCCCTCGGTCCTATCTCGCCTTTTCAACGGCGGCGTGCGGCCACGCGCCGCGCCGAGCCGGTCTCGGCGGGAGACCTCGGAGCCGCACGCGATGCGGGCATGCGCGATGGCTCCGTTGGCTCCGTGCCTAAGGCAGATCGATTAGGGTGTGAGCTGGGCAGCCACCGTTTCTGTACCCGCTCGATCACGTGCAGGCCGT